GAATTCCATTAGATTGAAAAGCAAGATTCTGTTATTGTTCATCTTTATTATATATAAAAGTAATAGATTATCAAAAGATCAGAATAAACTTCAAATTACTATATTACTAATAAACATAATTTAAAATATTCACTTCTCATAAAAGTAGAAATACAAACAACTTAAATGGATCAATAGAGAAGTATACAATTACAAGTCTATACAGTTAGAAAAGTTTAATATATTACTTACTTACTTACTTACACCTGTTACTCCTCGTGAAGGAGCATAGGTCGCTCACCAGCATTCTCCATCCAACCCTGTCCTGGGCAATCCTTTCCAGCTCCTTCCAGTTGTAATTCATCCTTTTCATATCTGCTTCTATTATCCGACGTAATGTGTTCTTTGGCCTTCCTCTTTTCCGCTTCCCTTCAGGATTCCAAGTTAGAGCTTGCCTCGTGATGCAGTTTGACGATTTGCGTAATGTATGTCCTATCCATTTCCATCGTCTTTTCATAATTTCCTCTTCAGCTGGAAGTTGGTTTGTTCTCTCCCACAGAAGGCTATTGCTGATGGTATCCGGCCAATGGATGTTGAGTATCTTGCGTAGACAGCTATTTATAAATACTTGTACTTTCTTGATTGTGGTTGTTGTAATTCTTCAAGTTTCAGCTCCATACAGTAGAATTGCCTTGACGTTCGTATTGAAGATTCTCACTTTGATATTGGTTGAAAGTTGTTTTGAGTTCCATATGTTCTTCAATTGTAGGAATGCGGCCCTTGCTTTGCCAATCCTCGCCTTTACGTCTGCATCTGAACCTCCTTGTCTATCGACGATGCTTCCCAGATATGTGAAGGATTCTACATCTTCCAGAGTTTCGCCATCAAGGGTGACTGGATTGCTGTTCTCCGCTTTGAATGTGAAGACCTTGGTTTTCCCTTTGTGTATACTGAGGCCTACTGATGCAGAGACTGCTGCTACACTGGCTGTTTTCATCTGCATCTGTTCGTGTGTACGTGATAGGAGGGCTAGGTCATCTGCGAAGTCCAGATCGTCTAATTGGTTCTGAGCTGTCCATTGTATTCCGTGTTTTCCTTCAGATGTCGAGGTCTTCATAATCCAGTCGACCACCAGAAGAAAGAGGAAGGGAGAGAGTAAACAGCCTTGTCTGACTCCGGTCCTTACTTGGAATGCATCCGTCAGCTGTCCTCCATGCACTACTTTGCACTGTAATCCGTCGTATGAGTTCCGGATAATATTGACAATCTTCTCAGGAACTCCGTAGTGTCGAAGAAGTTTCCATAATGTCCTCCTATCTACACTGTCGAATGCCTTTTCATAATCAATGAAGTTGATGTATAGTGACGAGTTCCACTCAACTGATTGTTCGACGATGATCCGTAGTGTTGCAATTTGGTCTGTGCACGACCGATCCTTTCGGAATCCAGCTTGTTGATCTCGAAGTTGGGCATCTGCTGCAACCTTCATCCGGTTCAGCAACACTCTGTTGAAGACTTTCCCTGGTATTGATAGTAGTGTAATGCCTCTGTAGTTTTCACATTTGCTCAGATCTCCTTTCTTTGGAATCTTGATGAGGTGTCCTTCTTTCCAGTCCATTGGCACTTGTTCCTCCTCCCAAATCTTTTTGAATAGAGGGTAAAGCATGCTTGTGGTTACTTCGACGTCTGATTTCAGTGCTTCAGCTGGTGTGTTGTCGGGTCCTGCTGCTTTCCCGTTCTTGATTTGTCTGACGGCCATTCTAATTTCTTCCGTCGTTGGTGGGTTGACATCTATAGGAAGATCTGTGTGTGCTGCTTCGATGTTCCGTGGACTCATTGGAGCCGGCCTATTCAGGAGTTCCTCGAAGTATTCTACCCATCTGTTTCGCTGTTGTTGAATTTCAGTGATTGGCTTGCCTTCTTTGTCTTTGACCGGCCTCTCTGGTTTACTGTATTTCCCTGATAGTTTCTTCGTTGTATCGTAAAGCTGTTTCATATTTCCTTCTCTAGCAGCTTTTTCTGCCGTCGTTGCTAATTCTTCCACGTATTTCTTCCTGTCGGCTCTAATGCTCCTCTTCACTTGCTTGTTTGCTTTTATGTATTCAGCTTGTGCTTGGACTTTCTCTGCTCGTGTTCGGCTGTTGTTAATTGCTGTCTTCTTGTTCTTCCTTTCTTTGATCTTGTCCAGTGTTTCTATAGAGATCCATTCCTTATGATGGTGTTTCTTTAGGCCCAGAACCTCTTGACACGTTGAAGTCAATGTTTCTTTGATGCCTTTCCAGTTGTCCTCCATGGTAGTTTCTTCTTCCTTCAGTAGATCTTGAAAGGCTTGGAACCTGTTGTTGAGAGCTATCTTGAATTCATTGAGTTTGTCAGTATCTCGAAGGAAGGCTGTATTGAACCTTTGTAGTGCTGTTTGTCCACTTGTCCAGTACTTTTTTAGCTTCAGTTTTAAATTGGCTACAACTAGGTGGTGATCTGAAGCTACGTCAGCTCCTCTCCTGGTTCTCACATCTTCCATTGTCCTTCGGAATTTTTTGTTGATGCAAATATGGTCTATCTGGTTCTCTGTAGTGTGGTCCGGTGAGATCCATGTAGCCTTGTGTATACGTTTGTGTGGAAATATTGTGCCTCCTATGACTAATTTGTTGAATGCACACAAATTTGCAAATCTTTCTCCATTTTCGTTTCTTTCTCCCAGTCCATGTCGTCCCATAATATCTTCATATCCAGTGTTTTCTATTCCGACCTTGGCATTTAGATCTCCCATCAGAATGGTGAGGTCCTTTCTTGGGCATTTCTCTATGATTGACTGCAGCCGCTCGTAGAATTGATCTTTAATGTCGTCGTTGCTATCATTGGTGGGTGCATAACATTGGATAATATTCATTAAGATCCCCTCCTTCTTTGTTTTGAATGATGCTTTGATGATTCTGGATCCGTGGGATTCCCATCCTACAAGTGCATTTCGTGCTACTTTGGACAGCATTAGAGCAACTCCCTGAGTGTGTGGAGCATTTTCCTCTTCGTGACCGGAGTATAGCAGCATCTCTCCCGTAGCTAGCCTTTTCTGTCCAGCTTGTGTCCAGTGGGTTTCGCTGATTCCCAGTACTGCCAAGTTGTATCTCCTCATTTCCGTTGCTATTTGGCTGGTCTTCCCGGTTTCCCACATTGTTCGAACGTTCCACGTACCTATAAAAATTTTTGCTCTGGTTGTTAGAAGGGGCATCGGCCTCGTGGCTTCCGAAGGAACTCGGCTTTCACCATGAAGCGTCATAATTCTTCTAAATGAAGACCTTCTAACTCTCAGGGCAGAGTTAAAATGGTTTGAATTATTTTTTCTGGTAAGCGTTTTTTTAGCGAGTTAGTTTTCTACGGGATGGGGACGCTAACCCCATGCCCAACCCTCCTCCTTTACCCGGGCTTGGGACCGGCAGTAACTCTAGAAGAGCTACAGGCGGAGTTTTAGTATATTACGATCATATATATATATATATATACCATAATCAGCATGAAATTACTTTGTGGAATTCTATGACATCTAGAACTCAAAACAACTGTCAACCAACATCAATGTCTTGACAGTTCTATTGTAGCGGACAGAAATTTGGCGAACTACGAAAGCAATCATCCAGAGGATACAAGTGTTTATTAACAGTTGTCTACGCAAAATAATTCGTATCCGTTAGCCAGACACTATTAGCAACAGCCTACTTTGGGAGAGTACTTAACAGATCCCAGCGGAGGAAGAAATCAGGAAGAAGCGATGGAAGTAGACAGGATAGACACTAAGGAAAGCATCTAACTGCATCACAAGACAAGCCCTCACATGGAATCCTCAAGGCCAAAGGTGGAGAAGAAGACCAAACAACCTAATACACCGAGAAATGGAGACAGACATGAGAAGAATAAACAACAATTGGATAGAACTAGACAAGAAGGCCCAGGACTGAGTAGGTTGGAGAATACTAGTCGGTGGCCTATGCTTCACTAGGGGTCACAGGCGTAAGTACATTTAGAAAAAAGACTAAAATCACTAGTTACAGCGAAAATGAAATACATATTTTTTCAATCACATTTGTTGTAAAACACATCAGTTTTTAAAAGTGAGGAATCGTTTAAAGGTAGGCTTAAATAATCTAGTGTTTCAGTAGATTATAAATAATGTAAATTATAAGAGTATTGTTTGTGAGATACTTTTCCCACAACTTATTGAAATAACTGATAATGTAATTATATTTTGACGAAATCACCTTTTTCTATGTGAATCTTTTTATTATTTATAATAGATTCGTTTATTCAAATAGTTTTGTAAAATCCTAATCAGTGTTATGCCTAATTTATAAGGATGAAGTTATAAAGTAAATGTGGTAAACTTAAATAATGGGTAACATGGAATCCAAAACAGCTTTTGTTCCTTGTTTTAAGATTATCAGCTGAATGTACTCGAGTCTCAGTATCGATGTTCATATTGAAACTTGATATCAATATCTTTCTTTTCAAAGTAATACAGGACATATCCAAACATCCACTGGCTTATACAACGTGGTGAATTCTAATTTATTTTATTTGTTTGAACCTTGTCGATAATATTATAAACAGCAGTTAATCAGTCTCTTTTGACATATGTACATCATGTGAGGATTGCGATGGTATTGCTAATCCCTCCCAAGTAATTTTAGACGCAGTGTGACTGCATCTGTCAATATCGAGGAAACATGCTAATATTGTTTATATTCCGAAAGGAGGCTGATCATTTACAGTTTTAATTATTAACAGGAAGATTCAAACAACAACAAAATTAAGGTGAACATTTGACACTTTAGATGAAGGATTATTACTGAATACGACTAAAATGATATCCGAAGCAATAAAAACATAGAGACTACCAGTACATTTGTATTTTAAAAATTCTTTAAAAAACTCAGATCAAAGATCTTAAGATCCTAATTTCGAACAATTGATCACTTCTAAACAAATGAGACTTTATTTCGTCATCGGTTTATACCTTAATTTTTTAGTTGATGGAATATCCGAAACGGATTTTGAAGTGCCCGATAAAAATCACACATTATTGGTTAATAATTTACTTATAGAAAATAATATCACAAATCATAATTATATTAATATGATAATGAACACTCCTGAGAAATTCAGTTATTTTATTGAACAATTAAAGTGTTTAACATATGAACAATGGAAAATAGTATACAATTCATGGGAAGAAAGTATTCAAACGAGAGAAATTAGGTGAGTACATTTCTTTGTTAATGCAAATAAATGAATATTTAAATGTAAAAGTTCTTATTCAGACATTTGATAAAACAAACAAAAAAACGAAGAAATATTTAATATCAAAAGAGGGTTATTGTGGATATTATAGCAATCTCAAGAGTTGAAATCATGAATCAATTAAAGATAAACAACATGGGAAACCTGGAAGCACTGGACGACCATGTCGTCCTAGTATGAGATTCCCCAGCAGTGCGCATTCACGAACCCGCCCCGCCAGATTCCAACACAGGACCTGTCGTTATCGCGAGCGAACGCTTAACCTCTAGACCGCTGAGCCGGTCCGCATCCAACGGTGTAAATGTCTAACTTCAACTAATTCACGAAACTGAGCGAGACATTCACCATTGTCATCAGTGGTGACCTCTGCGCCGCACCAATAATGTTAATTTCTTACTTCGACCTTTTCAAGCAATATTTGTTTTCAATTTGTTTTTTTATTATAGTTTTGTATGAATATTATTATAATATAAATTTTGTTCTTGTTTTTTCGTTTCGTGACAAATATGTATCACATATCTTAATTTAGTACTTGCCGATTACTTCGGTTAACAGATTGTCATATTTATTTGTGCCTGTTCATATGTTATGGTTCTTTCAATACACATTATATTTCTTAGGTCTTTACAATTGACCTGGTTACGTGCTACTATTATGATGATAATCAAATCGTTAAGAAAACATACACTGTAGCGCTTAGTTGTCTTGTCACAAAATATTAACTAACACGTGGATTACAAACAAGGATAACACATATCATGTTACCTAATTGGAATAAAACTAAGTGATAAGGTGACGTTAATGTTATGAAGTATATTCGTAAATGAAAAATCCACTAAAGACAGTACTATTCACTAATGAACACCAGTTTAACGACCACAAAAAAAGCATAGGAATGGATAAGTTATGCATGGTCATTAACAAATAGGTTTTACAATTTACATTAACAACATAGTTACAAGAATCATGACACACATTTTCTATTACATACAATGATCAATATATATTACACATATAATACAAGAACTTTAACTGTCAAACTTTTCTTCAGAAATTTAAAATCGTTGTTGTAATAAGAACATCAACTAAATGAAACTTTAGAAAATAAAAATTCACTTTTAAGACAATTAAATTTAAATATTTCTAGTTTAGTTCAACTGTAAGATACATCAGTGATTGGTATAAGAATTGAAGCTTATAGTTTGTTTATAAACGTGATAGTTAGAATGAAGTTGTATATGACTAACTGAAGAATGTCGAGATTTCTGATCTATTATAATCTCTGAAATTTATTTTGAGACATTATTTTATTTCATTTGATATATTTAGTAACTACGAAGTATATGTTGTTAGTGAAATTTTATTATTGTATTACTATTAGTAGTAGTAGTATTAGTGTTAGTATTAGTATTAGTATTAAACTATGGAAACATATATCGTTTAGACTGATTATTTTCAAAATATATTGATAAACTGATGGATTAATCCATTTTATTCACTAGATAATAGTGTTTCAGTGATAAAGTAATCAAGGTAAATGACTATTAATTTCGTAATAATAATATGCCCAAACCATTCTTGTTTATCAATAATTTTTTGTATTTTACTTCTCTTTGAACCATAATTCATGAGATTGTTCAAATACAAAACTTGTTAGAAGAAAATACTTTATGTTCTACATGGGTACAGAATACAGTGTCAATATATTTTTATTTATGTGAATTCTGGTTTATTTTACAGAAATTTTCTTGAAAATGTTATGTTGGAGGTTCAAACTGAATCATCGATAATCTTTATCATAAATCATTTTATTGTTAACACAAAAAATGAATATAAACAACTTAAATGGATTAACTATCTTAGCATAGTAAAGAAACCAACCATTGAGTTCATGAAAGAGATCAAGGTAAATTTTACTTGTTTGTTAATTCTAAATTAAACTATATTAAAATAGTCTGTACAAATACTTTTAAACATCAAACACATTTCAGTTATCATAATCATATTGGAAGATCTCTGTGCGTTATGGTTAAAAATGATGCATTGATAATCCGTTCTCAAATTATTACGCATTAACTATGCTTAATTATAGGAACTGAATAAGTATTGGCTACTGAATTCGAACCCAGGACCTATCAATCTCGCGCTAGGAGCTTAATCAACTAGACCACTGAGCCACGCAACAAACGGTGTTAATATCTAACTTTAACTAATTTACGAAATTGAGCAGCATATCCACCATTGTCATCAATAAGTTTCTATCTCAAGTTAGTTAAGGTTGCTAGGGACGGTGTAAGTGTAATGAAACAGAGGGCAGAGAGGTTCACTTAGCGGATTCATCAATAAAAATTATCGGACCTTTGAATTTCGTTTAATCTCACTTGTGTAATAGAATATACTTACAAGTTCAAGCACATTTAATTTATTATGATACTTAACTGGTACAAATATTTCATTAGGCTTTCTTAACCTGTAAGTTTTCGGAGTTGTACAGGAATCTAAACAGGAGTTAGTGATCAGATAGAATGTGTGAATGGCATTCACTAGACTATTACTTGGGGATGAGGAATCCCACTCTGAAACTTTCACCAGGCAGTTTAGGAGGTCTTAGATAGCATGCTTCTAGTCTCTATGTTGACTGGTTTATTGAATGGGATGGTTATAAGAGGGACAGATACAGAGGGCACCAACTACTAGTTTATGGACAAAGCCTTCAATTTCATTACATTCATGTATAGATAGTAGCATGATAACTCTAAAATATATTAAATCACTTGTGTTATCATGCATTATCGGGTTGCGAACTTACTGTGACTAGGAGTGCACGTTAATTGTTGGTAAGAACTCATCATTACATAACTGACAACTACTGGTATTTCAATGTAACTGAAATCTTCTTTATTAACCTCAGCATTGAAGTTTCGATCAGCTGCATGTATAAAGGCATTAACATTAAGATCATTCACATTGTCCAAAGTAGCCGTGACTCTGTATGTACATCCCAGGAAAAGATTATGATTCGGAGTGTTGACTGATATTTAGACCGATTCAAATAAACTTTTCAAGACACCATTATCAACCTTACTAGTTGATATATATGACAGCCACCCAAAAGTTTAATTTCTCTATTACAGAGATAAAACTGGTAGTTCTGGATATTTAATTCCGAATCAAACATTGAGGGAGAGCACCACGTTTCGGTGACAAGTATGAAGAAAAGGTTTGGATAGTAAAGCTAAGGTTCATAAGGCTGAAATCTTATTTATGAGTGAACGGTAATTGATAAGTAATTAGTTTAAAAAGGAAATATGGAGTGTTAACAACGAGAACTTTGTTATTGATGTTATGTATTTTAGAGGTGACTGAACTATAGTTTAGTATGAGTGTTTGATCGTATGGGTTTTGACTTGAACAACCTGTAGTACAAGAGGGATCAGAGATGTCTAAATGTTAATCATTATTTAGGTAACGTGAACATATTTGCTGAAAATGAGTTAGTGGATAGTTAAGAACGTTACCTGCCTGTTGATGTTGAGTTAATGGTACGTAACCTAGTAGTCCATCTTGTCCATTGGAAAAGTGATAAGAAGTTATATTTTGCGAATTCAATTTATTAAAAGTTTGGGTACAACTGTGTGACACTTTGTTCCTTGCATTTTGTCCAAATACTAGGTTTAGCTACATGAAGATTGAGGTGAGCGTTTCGTGTGTTAGCTGTAAAATATATATTTTGTTGATTTAGAAAGTAGGATTTTGACAAGTCACCTTCTACTAAAAGGTAGTTAGAAGTCAATTCATTTGTATAATAATGCGTAAATACTCTAAGCAATTTTGGTTTTGATGTTATTAAGCAGAACTATTCGAGGTTTTGTAATGAATAGGCGTGTTACATAATTGTGGAGTAGACATTTTGATATTATCATCGAGTACATGCCATCAGAATTGTCAATAGCCAATTTGGCTACTGTATGACTATAAAATGCGTGGAAAACTATTAAAGAAAGATTATTTTAAATATTTTAATACGTTGGTGATACAAATATGGAACATTGTCAGAGTTTCCTAGATTAGGATTTATCTATTTTTGCAATAACTGATGTAACCTAAAGCGGTGTACTGAAATTAATACTACGCATTAATAAGGTAACGTTGGGTATATCAACGAAGAGTCAAACACACTATAAAAAACTGGAAAATATTTAAGAATTCGACGATATTTAGCCGTTACTTTCAAATAGTAAGCACGTATTCAGTACCAAAACACCAAGTAGAATGTCATTCATATTCAGTAAAAACCGTTTGCTACAGCGCACATGCACATATTTACCATTTTATTAATCCCAAACAATTGGTTTCTTGGATCTATTCTCAAAGCTTATTTATATAACTCAAATAATTTCTGTGTGCTTATTGAACTACCCAACTTCTTGAGCCAGTAATTTTATTAAAACACAGATTGATTTGTTATACAGGGTAAACGTGTGTCAACGGTAATTATAACCCCACAATACGATTTCAACTTGTAATTAATATTATTTGATTCCGATGGAAGTAAACTCTAGTCTTTCTATATGTAACTATATATATTTGTTGATTACATGTAACCTCCATTCATCTTACCTTATTGTACTTCTATAAATAATTAACAATTAAATATTTATTTCGATAATACTTTTATACATCAATATAATTCAGGATGACTATTGAATTCATTTCATATATCTTTTGTTCTTAGAGCTTGTTAACAGATGATTTATACAATCATACAGTTTATTATGTCAGTTTAAGTATAAAGCGTTTTTGTGAAAATCATCCATCATGTATAAAATCTCAAATAATCAAAGAAATGGTAGACATTATTGAAAATGCAGTTGATTTAGAAGACAACATAAAGGTAATCATTTAAAATGCTATTAATCTATCATGCAATATTACTGTACTATGATTTGTTGGGACTTTTGCTATATGTTCTTTTCTTTCGTTCATATTTTCAATATGTTTTTGATCTTGATGTAAATTTTATACCCGTCACTCAATTAAACCTTTGAAAAAAACCTTAGTTGTTGATTAACAAATCGATCATCTTAGTAGTTGAACTAATGAGTCGATCTAAGTTGAACTACCACGGAAAACGGAAGCAGTCGACTGCAGTTTCGTCCAAGTATGGGACTTTTCAACAGTGCGCATCCGCGATCGTGCACACCAAACTGGAACTAAGGATATTCGGTATCGCTAGCGAATACTCAACATCTAGACCGCTGAATCGGCATCCAATGGTATCAATGTCTAGCTTCAGTCGATCCATGGTCTTATGCAACCCTTCGTCAATTAACTGAAGTGGATAACTGTCACCACATGACACGGATTAAACTAGCTTCAAAATGAATTTACTAGAGTTTTAGTGAGAAGTAGTGACCGATGTGGTTATAGTAATTCGGTTTTCAATGAATATGATCGACATACTACTTTTTGCTTTGGTAATGATCACCACAATCTTCACAAATCCCCATTCTAATGAAAGTAATTATCATTTATTTCTATTGTCAATGTAAAATAACAATAAATATTGTTATTATTGGCTTTACTCAATATTATATTTTCGATACAATATATAATTATCAGCACAAAGTATTCCAACACGTTTCCTTAGTTCTTGGTCGACCCTTACGAGTGATTACCAGTTACATGTTAGCAGTTCAGGAATCGACATCTGAATAATGTATATTATTTTCTATGCATATTGTCAGCAACTACGGTATCTCTGATTGAGCTCTTTTGTAATTTGTACAGTGAAATGTCATGAACTTTCCACAAACACACCTAAATAGGTTGTGCGACCAAAAAGCATTATGATATGTTAAAACAAACAAGAAAAAGAGATAACTTGTTGAAATATCCAGGTGGTAGGAACAGGTAGCCTAGATATTCAAGCAGGCCGCCAATAACATTAGTAACTAACGTTATTGAATATAGAATATTCCTAAGGTTCATATTTTCACATAGTTATAAACCATTCTGTCCATCAGCATGGTCATATTCAACTTATTCAACGATTTCATTCTTCATCATCATTTATAATTATGTATTGTTAAGAAAAAAAAGAAGTATAAAATTTATCGAAGTTATTCATCGAAACACAAACAACATCATAACATTCATAATGTAAAAACATTCATATCACCTATTAATTAACAAAATACTTAATAAGTATACTGCTATTAATCATAAGTTTTTGATGTTTTAGTTTTCAATTATAAAAAAGAATTGATAACATCTTTAGGGGAAGAAAATTTTATTTCATGTTTGTTTTAATTAACTATTTAAAGAGGATGAAAAAAATAATGTTTAATCATGTTACATGTTGAAGAGGTTTAATTAGTTCCGAAATCAGATTATTATCTATACAATACATGTGAATTATCCTTAATAAATGACATTCTAACATTGATTGTTATTTAGTTTTGTTGATACAGTAAAAAGAACAACAACAACAAAACATTATGAAAGGAAATGAATTCTTATCATTTCATACCCTATATACCTTCAGAATACATACTAGTTTTTATTTCTATAAACAAGATTATTTTAAGAGTATAATTTAGCGTAACCCTTTTTTTGAAAAAATCATTACATATAATCACCTAGGCAACAACAATATTTTACATTTTTTTGTGTGATTTTTATTTAATTCTTATTGGATTAATATTTAGTTAATCTATGTGTGATTATTATTCGACATTTGAAATGTTTAACTAAAGTTTGTTAAACTTGTTAATGACGTAATAATAAATTAGTGATTTAATATATACTATTCTATGTGAAATAAGCATAAATATAATTATATAATTTTAAGAAATAATATCGAAAAGAAAACTTTACTTTTTTTGATTTTCTATGATGACGTAATAAGTTTAGAAATTTTTATCTGATAAAATCTCTATTGTTTTATGTAAACGAGAATAAATAGATGATAAACGTTAGAAATTGTTTATACTCCTGGAGTTCTAGTGAGAAGCAGTGACCAGTGGGGTTCAACCAGGTCTTTTGTGACATCCGTTGGATGCCGGCTCAGTGGTCTAGTTGGTTAAGTGCCTGGCGCGAGAATCATAGGTCCTGGGTTCTAATCTCGCGAGGTGCGGAATCGTGGATGCGCACTGCTGAGGAGTGCCATACTAGGACGAAACGTCCGCTCAGTGGTCCCAGGTTTTCCATGGTGGTCTAGCTTCAAATGACTCATGATTCCAACCAGTGAACTTTCTAAAATCTTCACAAAACCCCCTCTGATAATTAATTCTAAACTAATATTATATGACTATTACGTAATTATATTATATGTATATTCATATCCCCTTTATTATAAGCTTTTATTGGACCGATTGATTATTATCATACGATTTACTATTTTCGAGATATTCCTAATTTATTAGTCACGATCTCCTACGATCATAGACACTTTTGGTTAGATTTTGTACATGTTATTTTCTATATTATGATGTGATGTGGTCTGATTTGTTTGTATATAAACTCATTATATTTGAAATATGTGATTCATATCACGAAGTCGGAGATTGGTGTTCTGGACTTTAAAGGAAAAAAACACCAATCGGAACTGTATACTACTCGTAATGGTGTATATGTCATTAGTTTGGTCGTGTTAATCGTATAAGCTAAAAACGGAATATTTATCTTTTCAATGACATTACAATTGGCACTACAGATAAATATAATTTGAGATGGTTAGAGGAAGTTTATAAATTAAAACTTCACTCGATGATCAGAATTTGTGTGTAGTATGGGATAATTTGTTTTAAAATAATCACAAGGCAACTATTTGTACAAATCATTTCAGTTTGTATTGTTTAAAGACTGCTATGGTTAAACGTAACTTAATAATTGTATGAAATTAAAAGTTCCTTTACATTAATCTCTGAGATTTATGTGTGTTCTTTTAAATTGACTATCACCTTAAACATAGTTAAGTTTTCAATTAGCGAAATTCCGAAATGACAAAAAGTAGTGAAAGCAATAAAGTTTTCTTATTTGACCTAAAAAAATGGAGAAGTTTTACTAGGTTTTAATGAGTAATTTGGATTGAGAAAAACTATGATTACAATCAATTAGGTACAAAGTATTTTTAACATTTGAAAAGGTTTTATTAATAAAATAATGGTGAAATGTCTAAGTAATATCTTATGTAATTACTGAATTTGACCTTTTATTTTTCCATTCATTAGGTTTCATTTTTAAAATTTATTTACATAATGAGTAGTTTTTTCATATATGGACTAAAAATTTATCCGTAACTATAATCCTATGCATCAAGCTAAGGTATACTAACATGTTCATAGAAGTTAATTGTTGATAACCGTAGATGTAATGAAGAGTTTGTTGAAAATTACACACTCATAATATAACATTAAATGAAGGAGAAAATGGTTGAAGATGCTATATTTAATGAAGTACATGAACATAGAAAACATAATGAATGACCTCAACTTTCAGATATTAAATCTGATAACTAATTACTGATTTCTTTTTCTTCCTCTTTTCACTGCTAAAAGTTATTACTACCACTTATAATGAAAGGTTAACTGACCTAAAAACTAAGTCAGGTATACATACTATACATTCTAAATATTTCAACATTTACAAACACTGAACTTATTTTATTAATAAATGTACGATCATATCGTGTTTTCTAGAAAAAATGCATTTAGATTTAAACTTTACAATGACTTTTGATTAGTAAATTTAATTTATATCATAAAAACATGATGACAATATCTTAAAATGAAGATTTTTCTCTCATTTAACTGCAAAACATTTTTTTACCAGAAAAGGGTTTTGTGGATATTATGGTAATTTAGAGATTTACTTCATGGGTCAATTGAAGTTGGACCTCGGAGCACTAAATAGCCTTTTCGTCTTAATGTGGGACTCCTCAACAATGCGCATTAACAATCCTGCACCCGGCATTCGAACGCAGGACCTATCGGTCTCGCACGCGAACACTTAACAAATAGATAACTGAGCCAGCATCCAACTGTGTTACTGTTTAACTCCAACCAATCCACGAAATTGAGTCACCATCCACCTATTGCCTTCAGTTAATTACTATATCATAACAAATACGGCTCAGTGGTCCAGAGATTAAGCGTTTGCGCTCGTGACTGAAAAGTCCTGCGTTCGAATCTCGCTTAGTAGGATCGTGGATGCGCAGTGCTGAGAAGTCTCACATTGAGACAAAACGGCTGTCCAATGCTCCCATGTTTTCCATAATGATCTAGCTTCAATTGACTTATGAACTTAACAAAAACTTTTACAGATAAATTTTATTTTATTTTTTGATTATTTTTCATTATCAATATAGTCATTAAAAACCCTCCAGACTATTGCAAACATTGGTAAAATTTTATCTTCTCAAAAAATTATTTCCCTTTTTCAAAAAATTTTAATTGATTATAAAATGGAATATAATGATGATTTACGATTATATTTTGGGCAAATAATTGATCATTTTCGATGTGAACAAAATGTAGATGTAAGTTTATCTTAACTACTAATGTTGTTTTGTTGTTGTTAATTTTCTTTACATAATTTTTCTTTCAAATAACTTTTTCTGTTATTCAACATGGTGTTTTCGTAAACGAATATTTAATGTTCACTGCATTGATAATAAAAATTTATAATCAGATAGGGGGTTAGTGGATATTATAGTAACTTAATAGTCGAGTTGATGTGTAAATTGAAGTTAGACCACCATGGAAAACCTGGAAGCACTGGATATCCATTTTGTCCCAGTATGTGACTCTTCAGCAATATGTATCCCCTATCGCGCCTCGTCAGATTCGAACACAGGACCTATCGATCTCACGTGCGAGCGTTTACTTTACAATAAGACGAAACCGCCATCCAGTTTTTCCAGGTTTTCCATAATGGTCTAGCGTTATTCGACTCACGAATTCAACTATTAAATTGCTTAGGCTTCAATCCAACCACAACACAACTCAATTATTTATTACTTACTTACGCCTGTTACTCCCAATAAAACATAGGCCGCCGACCAGCATTCTCCAACCCACTCTGTCCTGGGCTTTCCTTTCTAGTTCTATCCTATTTTTGTTCATTTTTCTCATGTCTATCTCCATTTCTCGGTGGACTGCGTTCTATGGTCTTTCTATTTTCCTTCACCTTGAGGGTTCCAAGTGAATGCTTGTCTTGTGACGCAGTTGGGTGCTTTCGTCAATCTGTGTCCTATCCACTTCTAGCGGTTCTTCCTGATTTTTTCCTCCACTGGGATCTGGTTTGTTCTCTCCCACAGTAGGTTGTTGCTAATAGTGTCTGGCCAACAGACCTGAAGTATTCTGAGTAGACAGCTGTTAATTGATATGAAATGTCTTAATAAACAATGAATAAAACCTGCCGTATAATGTGACATAACTTTTGATAGAATTTATTACTTTCAATTTATATAAAGTATATTATGTTCAATTGAAATAACTCAATTTCCCATTCGTCAATCGAAAATAATTAATAGTTTAGTTGATGAAAAACTGTGAGCTCATCATAATTCTTGTAAGTGTTTCGTTTTTTTATATGATTCACATAGATTCAACATTATTATTATTACTAGTATCAGTATTATTATTTTCTATGAAATAATCAGTAAAATATAAATTAAAATAGGGGGTCAAGTTATTTTTGACAAAATAATTTTCTGGAGCGGATTCATTTTTTTTCTCTTGATTAATTAATGCACGAAAATACAAACAAACAAACAAACCACTCAGTTTTGTTTTAGCTTAAATATCTGTCGTTTTGTTTTCTCTTCTTTTCCCCTCTCTCTTTATATGAAAACAAAAATTACCAGAATATTCTATGGAATGTATTTTTGAATACTACTGAATCAAATGAATTAAGAATTACAATTTTTAATTCGTATATTAAATGTTTAACGGATGAAAAAATGAAAAAAATCATGAAAATTTTAAATAAATCTTTAGATATTCAAGTAAGTTTTATAGATTTGAATATATATTTTGTTGTTTTTTTGTTTAAACTTCTAAATTTTTAAGAAAATTGAAAGAATTTAATTATTGAACTCATGAGTCAATTAAAGGTAGATCATCATTGAAAACCTGGAAGCGCTGGATAAAAGTTTCGTCTTAGTATGGGACTTCTCGAAAGTGTGCACTCACGATCCTGCCCCGCCAGATTCGAATACGGGACCTAACGGTCTTGCGCGCGAAGGCTTAACTTCGAAACCACTGAGCCGATATCCAACGATGTTAATGTCTAAATGCAACCAATCCATGAAATCGCGACATTGTCCACCATTGTTTTCAGTTAATTACTATCTCATATCAGACCCAGTTGAACTCCACTGGTCACTGCTTCCCACTAGAAATCCAGGAAATACGTCTTGAAGCTTGTCACTAGTGAGCATATGCTGATTAATATCAGAAGGGTTTTTTGTGGATATTATAGAAATTTAATAGATGAATTCATGAGTCGATTGAAGGTAGGCCACCATGGAAAACCTGGAAGTACTGGACGACGAACTTTTCATACTTGTACAGGACTTCATAGTTGTGCTCATCCAAAATCCCGCCACGCGAGATTCGAATCCAGGATCTATCAATCCTGAAATATTTTTTAAAAACTACGTTTGGTTCCTATTTTTAAATATCTGGAATGAAACTAAAATTATCGGTAATTAACAGAGAATTATTGTTCTGTCCTATAAATTATTGATTAACATTAACATTTACAGTTTTTCTATTGTTGTTCAAAAAAAATTGTTGGTTGGGGCTTTTGAATATAAATCAGTTTTGGCAGTGAAAAAAAAGAGGAAGTGATGAGATTTGGAAACAGATTACCAGTTTTGTTAACAAGTGTGAACCATATCATTACTGGAAAGTGCTTAATGAAATAAACATTTTTAGAGTTGCTTTTTATATAACATATTAAATGTCAAAGATGTTGTGTAAGCATGAAATTGATATTTAAACACTCGCATATTTTATTATTCGAATATTGGATATTAGTATACATTTAAATGTGACAGACCTTTATAGTTAATTTATATCCAGTGATTTATACCTGTTACTAATGATTAATTGTACCTAAAATGTTTTTCATAATTCTTCTAATTGAACGCTAGATTCGGTTCCTTAACTCTTTCAGTAACCTCCAAGCTACACAGTGACTTGAACACGAGAAAAAAGGAGCTAAGTTTAGGAAAAATGCTTCACTCCAAGTTTTTTTCATTTACAGAAAATCTAGGGTTTTTATAGTATTTTTGATGGTCTTGAGCTTCCGGAAAATTATATAACGTTACTAAATAGAGTAGCAGTATAGGTAATCATCCAATCAGAAACTCGACATTTAATGTTTCATTTTCTAGATGTTCCTGGCAAGACTTCTAGTGAATGCTGATTGGATAAGATGCTTCTCAGCGTTTTTAAAGCCTTTTTGGCTTTTTTCGAGGAGTTTTCTTGATCTCGCCAACAGTTTTCTTATTTCAAAATGTTCACCATCATTCTGATCAAAGACAACACACTAATTTAAAAGAAAATGAATTTCGCAGCTACAAAATAACTAACTTCATTAATTTTGATAATCTGTTAACGTCTAGTCACGACTGTATATTGAAAAATATGTAGCTGAATCAGTTAACAGACATCTTCAGATCCTAAAAAAAGATTTAATTTTGCAACTAGATAAGACTGGGATAGGTAAGGATTTTTTATGAGTTTTATCACGCATTTTGATAATTTTAAGGCAGTGACAAGTTCTAGTGAAAAGTCGTGACCAGTGGAGCTAATCCGTGTTGGGTAGAGACAGGTATCTACCTCAGTAGAATGAAAGGTGGTCGCACAACCTAATGGATTGTTTGAAGTTACACACTCACGCCGTCGGATGTCGGCTCAGTAGTCCAAAGTTTAGGCGCTTGGGCACGCGAGTCCAAACGTTTTGAGCTCGAATCCCGGGTGTGGAATTGTAGATGTGCACTGCTGAGTACGCTCATACTAGGACGAGACGACCATCCAGTGCTCTCAGGTTTTCAATAGTGTTCTAACGTCAGTTGGCCTATGGTCCAAATTAAAAAACAGACTGGGTAAAACAGAACAATAGAAACTGCAGTGTGCATTATTGTGGCTGTCAACTTGCAGAGGAGTAGTTTTAATGATTATTTTGAATCTATTTTTCACTCTTAAATAGTGTGGCAACTGGATATAATAAATAAAGTTGAAATAGATTATTATTATCAATTTGTTAAACTACGGATTGAATTCCGATCAGGCTGAGTAATATCAGGGTGTTTGTTTACTTTAAGTTAATTTATTGCGATTGATTTAGGCTTTGTACGAATTATCATTTCATCGGCAAAACAGTTTTATACTAATTATTGCCCTGAATTTTAACAATTTAGGATGTTACTGCTCAGCTGTTAGGATACAAATATCGAGTATGAATTAAGTGTATATCAACTGGTAGTCTCAGCTATTGATAGAGAAAATTTTATAACTCGGTTAATTATATTTCTATATCTTCATTCATTTTGATGACCATGTTTAGTATGAACGGGTTTTTGGACATTGTTTAATTTAATGGCCCACATCATCAAATTATTTGAGTTAGATAGCGACTGAATATCAGGAAACATTAGACAGATGTTTCACCATGGCATAGGAATCACTGATGATATGCACCCACAAGCCACTGCCTTTGATAGCGTATGCGTACGCTTTTGATTAAGACCACTGAGCTGACATCTAATGGTATACACGTCTAGTTTCAATGAATTAGTCATACTGAATGACCAACTTTCATTACCTGTGATGGATAATTGTCTCAAACACGAAACGGTTCTATTCTTTCAGTCATGTTAGCCACGAGTCTGTGAGTCCTAGGTTCGATTATCGATTGGTTGATGATGCCCACTGATAAGATTTCTTATATGAGAATGAGACAACTATCCAGTGCTTTCTATTTTTATTAGTTATCTGACTAAAATCGGTCTGTGATTTAAACTATCAAAAAAACCATTTTTATTATTGTTGTTGTAATGTTTTTTGTCACTGAAACCAAAAATCTATATGATTTTATGTACAGTTTCTAATGTTAAAATAACAAGGTAAGAGTATATTTATGTAATCAGAAGAAGTGTAAATGACTTAAATTCTGTGTTTTTAGTAATTAAATAGGATTAGAAACCCAACAACAACAACAAAGAACACAAAAATACTTGTAACATATAATGAATAGAAATGTTACATACTTTCTAAGAAATATAATTAATTCTACCTAAGAGATAATTATTATTTATAAAGATAAGAGATCTAGGAAATTAACATTATCTTAAATGACTTTTCTATTCTATGTATTTCATAATTTATCTGTTATAATCTTGAATAAGTATGTGATTAATTTTGCCAAGAATATTGAATTGGATTGTTGGTATGACTAATAAACAATGTTCCTTTCATAATGACTGGAGAGTTTAACAAAAGAAGGTATTTCCTGGAGTTCTAGTTAGAATCAGTGACCATTGGAGTTCGACCGGGTCTGTTGTGAGATAGTAACTCATTGAAGACAATGGTGGATGTAACTTAAGTGATCTCCTAAATACATTTAATAATTGTCACCCATCAATAAAATTCACAATTGAAGTTGAAAGCAAACAAAATATTCACTTCCTTGATGTAGATATAACAAGGAAACAAGATGGTACTTTAAAAAGATCTATCTACAGGAAACCCATGTGGAATGGCCAACTATCAAATTTCCACAGTTGGGTTCCCATCAGCCGAAAAAGAAACTTAATAATAACTCTCGCCACAAGAATACGAAGAATCTGTAGCCCTGAGGTCGTAGAGGAAGAATTGAGTTTTTTTAAAAGAGATACTTATCAAAAACGGATATCCTTCTATATTCATTGATAAGAACATGAAACCGAAAATGCCAAGACCACAAACAACTGCAATAGAAAAGAAAATTTTATACATGAACATTGACTTCAAAGGTGATAGAGCCGCATATATCTTAAAGAGGAGAATTTCAGATTCTTTAAAAAGAACATTTTTCGCAGCAACATTGCGAATGTTATTCTCCAGCCGATCACTGTTCGCCAATAATCTGAAAGATAAATTATCGCACCTGACCAATGCAATGTGCATTTACCAATTTACCTGCTCTTGTGGAGCTAGGTATATAGGTCGTTCGATGCGTACTTTATCCAAAAGAATTCAAGAACATTGTCCGGCGTGGCTAAGAAGAGGAGGCAGCGGCTCAATAAGAAGTTCTATAATCGAACACCTTGTGAACACAGGTCACTCAATCAAGACAGACTCTGCCTTCAAAGTCATCTACAAGGTAAGTAGAAACCTTCCTAAGACAATTAGACTACATCTCCTTTGCATTCCCGAGGCAATAGCCATACATTTTGAAAAACCAGAATTATGTGTACAAAAGAGACTGGTAAGACCTCTTCTATTATCGTGGTCTTAAGGTATTAAAATTTTTTCTCTTCCTCATTACTCTTGTTCTTTTACAGCCACCTGCTTCACCTTCCATCTTCCCTTCAAATCTTGTACCCCCAACCGGTTTGTTTTTATTTCAACGATCATTCCGATTACATTTCATCTCTGTTTCAACATTTTATGTTATTTTATCATGCTGAGCTACTCTTACCCGATGAATATCTAAGCCATTAACTATCAAACTTTCCTTGTTTTTAAAAAACTTTTTTTCTAATACCTTTGTTTATTTAACCTCACCGTCACCATGTATATCATAAGTTTATTATCAGTATTATTATCACCCTGTAAAAAAATAAGTATATATATTTGCGATTGTACAGCTTTGAAAATGAATTCTCCGAAAAGAGAACTCTTCGCTGAACTAATCTTTCTTTCTTATTTAATGGTGGATGTGTCGCTCAATTTCGTGGATTATTTGAAGTTGGACATTAACATTGTTCGATGCCGGCTCAGTGGTCTTGAGGAGAAGCGTTAGCTCGCGATACCGATAGATCCTGTTTTCGAATCTGGCGGGGCGGGATCTTGGATGCGAACGTCTGTGAAGTCCCACAATAGGACGAGATGGAAGTGCTTCCAGGTTTTCTATGTTGATCAAGCTTCAATTGACTCATGATCTCAACTATTACCGAGATTTACATAAAGCCAAAGGAATAAGAGCATATTTGAATAGATGAATATAAGAGATTTATGTTGATAACAGATTGTGTTTTATTATTATCTGATAACCAAATTCACTCTAAACAATCTTAGCAATTCTAGATCAACCAGAATAATGTTACAATGGATGAATGAAATATATGAAGGGTCGCGTGAAATATCTCAATCCACTCTAAATTTTATTAAAATATACTGGAATAACTTGATCTTCTGCAAACTCTTAGTTGCTCATTAATAAGCAATTCCTATAGACGGACTAAGTTGTTATTCCTTGTTCAAAAGCTTTTATTACTTTGCCAACTGAAAGCACTATGACAGAATGCAACATATGCGTATTCGCAAATGTTGGCTGAATCAGTATGAAATATTTATATTCAACCGAAACTGAAATAATGACTCAAAACATCAAAAATATCAAAAAATGATTTGATTAGGCATGTAAACCTTTATATCTATACAGATCAAGCATATTATAACAAATAAAAATCAGTCATTTAGAATATTCTCATTTGTATAGGACAGGGGTTTTCTTGAATCATTCATTTTAAGTAAACAGTTCCTAATAATCTGTTTTTCAAATAGAACAATTTCTAGTGTAGAGTATAAAACTGATGGTTACCGTTTGAAAGAAAAACCAAGAAATTTGATACGTCATAATACGTAACTAGGTTTCTCAATTTTTAGTCGGCTTTATTAATTTTTCAAACAAATTAATGACTTCACTCTGATTTAGGATCAAATAAAATAGTGATTTTATGCAGTTGGTTCCCTTTATGAATTTAAATAGAGCAAGAACAAACATTGATGCAGAATAGTATGAATTCATATTATTTCGAGGTTTCACACATTTCCATCACCTGATCCTCTTAAATCATCTTAACTTTCCAAACCCTATTTCATTATTATTACGTAATCTATCTTATCATTATTTAATTCCATTAATCTCTACAATTATCACACAATTTATGAACTTCACTAAATTATTACACCACCCACCCTGGATTAACCCCCCTCGTCTGACCTCTGACCTGTTTCTAGCATATATATATAGTTATTATTGTAATCACGTTATTTACACTCATTTATGTCAATTGTTTCACGCTATCTCCATGTAAAAATTCTATCACGATTTTGGTTTGTAAGCAGCTGACGAGAAACCTCGAAATAATATGAATTCATACTATTCTGCATCAATGTTTGTTCTTGCTCTATTTAAAACAGTGATTAACTACCTCTACATGCACAATATGCACATAAGTAAATTTTATTTAGAATTTGTTTATTTTAGAGAAATTCAAAACGGTTAGTTTTCGTGAGAATATTCACCACTAGAAGATAATCAGTGTTGTGCTTTGATTTTTCTCAATTATCAAATGGTGAATGTGAACAAATATAGAAACTGTCATTTTTGGGTAGCGAAATCTAACTATGACATGTTTATGAAAACCGCATATTCATTACTTCTTATAAGTATCACTCGATAAATACTTCTTAAACATCATAAATACGAGTTGATGGAAAATTACTGGTAAAACAATCTTCATGAAGGAATGATATCAGTTTGAATGCCATTAATTCATCCCAGTGTAAGAATTTTCAACAGTAAGCAAACATGGCAACATTATTAACCAAACTTATTACCTAAAGATACCGTAACTAGTTGATCATATTTATATGGCTAGATAATAATCCAATAGTCTATATCTATAATTCCGAACAGCTCATAGTGAATGGAAAAACCTACTTCTCACATGCAAAAAATTAGATAAGTTTAACGTCTCACTGAATATATATTACATTATCTTAGTTTTAATCTTATCTTTTCTGTTCATATTAATACTAGTAAACATTCCATTTGACAATATATTTCTCATCTACATTTATTTTTGAATCCACTTATGCATATACTCATTTTTAACCTTAATCCTAACATTTCTAGCCAAAATGAATCTTACCATTTGTCTTTCCTACTTTTACATCTTCACTGAAGAAGTTTATGTGGTAGTATTTTGAACATTCTTTCATATTTCTGCCATCAGTGAATAAACTAACAAAAAAAGTAAGGAAAAAAAGAATTGAAACGTCTTGCCAGTATTACGATAGTACTTACTATATATTACTATATTTTCAGAAACACAGTATATTCTTATGGAGTAGTACAATTATTAACATGCATTTATGTGAAAATATTGTTGAAAAAAACCCCATATTGTTAGTTCAATTATTATGGAAATCTACGTCAATTTATTTACAGAATGTTTTCAAGTGTTATATAATAAATTTACAATAAGAATGATTTAAAAAATTCTCTAAACCATTTCAGTTATTCGGTTAACATTTAAATGGATATAATTTCTGATAAGATGAATGATTGGTTTGAATAGGTTATTCTACTACTGCTTCATTAACCAAGGAAGCTAACTCAAAATATCTGAGTTATCTGTTCCTATCACCAGAAAATTTTAACAAGTTATCTGTTTTTCTTGTTTGTTTTAACACATCTTTATGCATATTAGTCCCATAAACTATTCAAGAGTGTCTGTGAAAAGTTGACGACATTTCACTGTACAATTTACATAACAGCCCAATTAAAGATATTAAGGTTGCTGGCAATATGCATCGAAAAGAATATACATTATTCAGATGTCGATTCCTGAACTGCTAATATTTAACTGGTGACCACTCAATATTTGTCTCAAGGATCGATCAAGAAATAAGAAATAGAAACCTGTTGAAATAATTTGCGCTGAAGATTCCGTTTTACACCAAGAATATAATACTGAATAAGACCACTAATAATAATACTATATATATAACTGAACCTTTGTTTTCATTCAGATCTCATTATAACTTCTATATGGGTCGCTAAATCCACTAACTAGTACAAAAATTTCGGCGGTAACTTTATTTCAGTAGTATATTGGAAACATTTTCAACGTCGTCTTGGTATCTTAATGAGATGACATGAAATTTTAGAACATACCATTTAAAGTTGAATTCAGCTTAAAGAAAGCAAGGATATTTACATAATTGCTCTGCTGTTCCAGATTGATAATTGCTGCACTATCAATAAACACACAAAAGACCTAGATAAATTTATTGTTTAAGAATAGTTTTCAGTTAACAAATATATTTATCATGATAGTAAACTTTACGACACGTTATTGTTATATCAATGTAATATACCAATAACCCATGATGTATATCATTACATCATCAGCTGCAAATCTCAACTTACTAGTGATTTTTTATAAACTATTAATTTATGAGTAACATATAAATACATAATAAAACTGATTATAAGCTAATTAGTAACTATTCTATTATCAAATAGAAAAGGATGGCCAGGTAACTGTGTCCGTTGTTTTTATTTATTTATATTTTCTCTGAAAGTAAATAAAGAAAGTGGAATATCAAAATTATGTATTAATGTTTTCTAAAGAAATTGATTTCCTGAAACTTTCTTTAAATCTTACTTCCTTTCAAAACGTCATTTATTTTACCGATTTATTTATTTATTTTCATTGTTCTCAGATTCGATCATATATGATATGTAAACTGGTTAGTTTATTCAAAACGCATGATCCTTCTAAAAAGCATTTACAATTAATAGTTTATAAATATGAAAATGAAATTATTCAATTAAATAAAGATAATGGATTCCTCTTTATCATCAGAAATTCTGGCTATTATGAATGGATTCAAAAAACCAAATATGTAGGTTCTTTTATATTATATTTTTATTTCTAAATTTGTATCTATCTATATAGTAAGCTAAACTCTTGGAAATAATCAAAATAACCCATAGTGTCATTGAATAAGAAAAAGAGAATTCAGCGGAGAACGTTTTCTTTTCGACGAAATCATTTATTTAAGCTGTACATTGGTGATGCAATTTTTTTCTATTCTCTTATAGACATACATTTTCCATATAACTATATATACGAATGTACAACTTAAGTAAATGATTTTGTCGAAAAGAAAATTTTCTTCGCTAAACTCTTTGAAATAATCTAAATTTAAATATTTTGTTTTATGGAATAAAAAGATCTATATGATTACAATATTAAAACAGATAAGATTCTATATCTAAACATTCATTAAGTACTTTAGTGTACTAAACGTGTGTAACCTATGCAGTAAGTATTCATCACTGCTATGATGGAAAGAAAAGTCGAAATTCGATTGATTTACTCATTATGAGTTTTGTTCAAGATTACTCCCGCTTTGATTCAATCTCATGATTATTCGGTGTAGTATTTCATTTGTTTTCTCATATGATATTTCATTCTGTATAATATACGATATACTTAGATGCCGGCTAAGTGGTCTAGTGGTTAAGTACTCTGGCTCTAAACCAGTAGATCCTGGGTTCGAATCTCGCAGGGGCGGGGTCGTGGATGCGCACTGCTGAGGAGTCCCATAATAGAATGAAACGGCCGTCCAGTGCTTCCAGGTTTTCCATGGTGGTCTAGCTTCAACTGACTCAGGATTTTAGCCATTGAAATTACTACAATCTCCACAAAAACCCATCTGATACTTGTATTTAATTGACATGAACTATGCTCAGTATGTGATTTGTCATAACTGAGTACTTTTCATATATGTGATTTCATCCTAATTACTAATCATCAAAGTGTGTGTACAATCAATATATAAATGAGTGTATTTTCGACTAGGGTTGTCGTCGTTGTGCTTTGAATCTAATAAATCTTCACTTATACCAGTCCTGCTGTTCTTACTTTTGCGTCGTGGGAATTACAGAGGACCCTCGTTCCGAGTAAAAGTGATAAGCGTTTCGGACACAACAGTCAGCGACGACCAGATACAACAAGTAAGCATTCGATTCACAAGTTATAACAATTACGAACTCTGATAAGTAAATAACTCAATAGTAATTCATTACTGACTAAAATACTTATAGATCTATCAAGATAAGAGTATATTTCGGAGACAGGTGAATTTTTCTTGAACAGTAAAATATGATTTAATGTTATTTGTTGATGTTGACTGTACATATTTTATCAAAAACGAACTGTATTATATTCAATAATACAGTGAACTTCAACTTATATTAATCTATAAAGAACAATACTGACTATCATAGAATAATAACTAGTTTATTTCACTGGTTGTTGTTTTCAAAGTGCATTTTTTTTATTTTTAAATCAACTGTCAGACAAATTGATCAAAATTATATATTGAAAATTGAAACGAAATTTTCGCGATTTCGAATTACAGTAATCACTTAGCTTCGTTAAGGCACATCAAGACCAAAGCTATTAATAGGATTCGAGTACATATGTACATAGGGAAAAGAATGAATCGACAAGTGATATTTTAACTATCAACATTTAAGCTAGAAGGAAATATGTGCGTAGGCTGTTACATGTGATCAAGCGTACACGCTTATAAAAACAAGATAGTGATCATAATAGTACAAAGAAATAGATGAATTGTTACTGGTCGAATAACATTGTCTGTTAAGTCAATAAAAAAGCTTAACAAAAAACTAACCATAATCGAAATTGATTTTGGGAGAGTTGCTATAGTATTACCGCTGTTTGATACTACTGAATTCGTTATTTAAAGATCAATCGATTAACTGTCAAAATATATTTTTAGATAATAATTTCTGAGAAGGTAATCATCACTAAATTGACTTAATAATTATTTTAATAAATGAATACACATATTTACTAGGGTTTTGTTGACGGAATTATAATCAGAAAATGGTAACTTATGGCATTTTGATGCTCTGAATGTACAAACAAATCTTTAATCCAAACTTATGTTTCATACATAGCATAAGTGTTGTGTTGAACTTTTCAAACTCATTGCTAAATGTAAAATATTTCATCAGTTGCTTTGAACATTAACAGATTAATAAAGAACAGCTTATAAGTGATTTCTATCACCAAAAACTTCTGTACAAGATTGATTTTTGTATTATATTCTACTTTCTAATAGAACACATCACTGTCACATTGGATCAAATTATAGACATTTATGATTGACTACCTTCAGTGACAAACTATTCCGAATTCAGTGACCACTAAATAAGGTTTTAAATTTACTATTAGTTATTGATGAGATAGGAGAAAACAGTAATATCTATTTCTGGTCATTTCACTTAATCTTTATTCGGTGTTTTAGTGTCTTATCCCTTGACGGATCATATTATATCAAATATTTTCTTTACAAAGTAATGAGTTCATTTAAACAGCTTTTTAATGAAACATTCCTTAAACATTCTAGTAACTTTAGACTGTGTAGTTCACTGTACTTTATTATTGGAAACTTTTCTGGACAAAATAGTTTTTCTAATTATGTAGAAAAGCAAATGTTCTGAATTTATATATCTTACAGTAAATACATTTAGAAACTTACAGTTTATTTTGTTACAATGACAATTTCCAATAACGTTTCTATATAAATTGACTCTAGTTCAAAGTTTCCAAGCAAAATATTACTTTTCTGTAATGATCACAGACGTCAAATGAAGATAAATATTTATATAACCAATGTTTATACCAGATCGAGTATGCGAAAATTCCTACTAAGTTATGCATTCTTCAGGACAAACTAAATCTCATCGATTATACTGAAAGATGGAAAATCACTATCGAGATGTTCATTATGTACTGTTTAATAGTTGGATGAAATCTGCTATTTAAAAAAAATCCACGTCTAAACTCTTTGGTGAACACTGAGGACTACAGATAAACACTACGAAGGAGTAAATGTTTTTGTTCACACATTTACTTCAATTGTCGTACTATACTATTCTACTTGAAATGGTTCTTTTTATTCACTAAATCTTCTTAAGCTACTTATTTGCATAAAACTTAAAATCATCATAACTAATATTGAGTGATTCTTATTAATTACTATAATAACATAAAAATGGGATTTAATCAGTTATTAACCACAAAATAAAAGGTTTTAATACAGGCACTTCTAATCCCTCATTTCTCCTAACCATTTTTTTAAAGTGATTGTTCACAGTCGAAAAAATCTTTATAACTATTCATATTTAAACCAATCGAAAAACATATAGCATAATCAAATAGTTGAGTTTATGAGTCATTTAAAGCTAGACCACCATGGAAAACCTGAAACCACTGAACAGCCATTTCGTTCCATAATATGGGATCGCTCAGCTATGCACATCCATAATCTCGTTTGCGCACAAAACCGAAGGTCCTGTATTCAAATCTCAGGATGGATATATACTGGTGAGAAGTCCCACACTAAGACAAAACGGTCATCCAATGCTTCCATGTTTTCCATAGTGGTCTACCATTGATTGACTCATGAACTCAGCTATTTAATTATTACAATCTTCACAAAATCCCTTTCAATATAACATAATCATTAAGTGATAAATTGTTATTTAACTTTATTCATAAATGAAATATATGTTAACAAGTCAAATGTATATAATTGAATCTATCAGTTAAATATATTTGATTGTTTGACACATAAAACAAATCATATTGTATATAAACTTTATTTATATTTCAAGTCATAAAAGTCCTTTAATTAGTTCGATTAAAATAAGGATCGATTAATAGGTTTATATTATTTTATTGAACTTCCTTTTAAAAACTAATCGTTCGATTCAAAAATAAAGTAATCAATATAATAATAATATTAATGAAAAATCAATAAAATATATCGATATTTACTATATAATCTATCATTTTATGTATGATCAATTTACTGTATAACCAACTGAGTTGATGATGCAATCACATTAAAGATGCTAGAAATGTATTTATTGTGATAACGTACCTTAGTACAAAAATTTAAAAAAAAAAGTATTTTTATTGAGATCAAAATTATGCATTGTAGTGCTAAGGAATCTCATATAGCTTATTCTAGCTCTAAGGCAAACCAATCTATCCATTCTCCATAAGCTACATTTTAACCTTGTTAATTATTCTCTTATCAACCTTGACTGTTTTTATGTAAGCTTATATATGTGCATTTCTTATCTTACTCATCACATGCCTGTAACTCATTTTTGTGTGACTACAATTATCGATTAAATTTAGTTGGCTTACGTGATTTCTCCACCGCGTGTCATTTTGTTTCGCTATCTTCTATTTGCTTCATTTACTTCATTTCTCTGATTGTCTATCCAGATCGATGTGAGTGCAAAATATACGTCTTCAAAAATCTATTCTCGTATTTAATTCCATTATTAACTAACACGATTCAAGCATTGGCGACAGTAATCATTTCGATAACGATCCGAAGCGAATTAAACTGGAGGCAGATCTAAAGCCATTGAAACATAGTCGGAGAAATAATGAAAGTCAAAATAACGAATAATTGTTATCAGAATGGGTTTAGTGGAGATTTTAGAAATTTCACAAGTTGAATAATTGTGAATAATTGTTAGTTGTATTCAAAAATCAGTTTTCTTATAACAACGAAACAAGTTGCTTAGATATTTTAAGTGAATTTTGATCTTTGAGTAAATGATCAATTATACATATATGTTTTGATAATTGATTCAGGGTTTTAATGTCGGTTTTCTTTACAACTGCGTAAACTGTAGTTATTATTTCTGTAAACATATATATATATATATATATATATATATATATATATATATATATATATATATATATATATATATATATATATATATATATATATATATATAATGACTGGATAAAGTTTCCATTTATTTATAAAGTAAATCC